TTGGCGAGCAGAACGCGGTACCGATAAAGTAATATTCACTATATTCAACACTAAGTTTTTAAGGAGAATGCTTTCCTCCTCGCGTCCTATCCTCACTGCTGAAAGTCGTGACTATAGTATTTAGACGGGATTTTATTATTTGTTATGTCTTTCTAGCGTTTCTGATCATTGGCCGCGTGAGGGGCTTCGTGGAATGGAGTTTGTAGTGTTGTGCGGATTTGGTCGAATCACCTTGTCGGGCTGTGTCCGCTCGGTCTCTTTCCCTCGATCTTCCCTGTCACGAATAGTCTCTCTAAGCTATCGGGTGTTTTCTAAGCAATATGACCGAAGTACTCGAGCGAAGGCAGAGTGTGGACAGTCTAGTCTTGATCTTCAGCTGTTCTAAGATAGACACATTGGTTCTCTTCGTTGTCCAAGGTATACGGAGCATTCTTCTCGAGCACTACATTTCAAAAGCAGCCATGCGTTTGCGATCAGCTGCTTTAAGGGTTAAGGTCTCCGCTCCGTATAGAAAAATGAAAATGACTAGAGGGAACACTAATTTTATCTTCGTTTTCTGGGTAATGTTACATTCTTTCCAGATTTTACGAAGCTGGGCCATGGCTCCTTTTGCTATTCCGATACGCCGTCGTATTTCAGGTTTGATGGTATTGTTAATGTTTGAGTCTAGGTAAATAAAGTTCTCGACAAGCTCAAGGCTCCATTAAGCTCCAACTTTTTTATGCGATCGACGACCATGATTTTGGTTTTGGATCTTTTGATGGCGAGTCCCATCTCCAACCCTATGTGCTCCATCCTATTCAAAAGCTCTGTCATCTCTATTTCCGTTTTGCCTAGCAGAGTTGTGTTATCTGAAGTCGTCGTGGCCTAAAGGATAAGACGTCCGGTGCATTCGTATCTAGCGATGCAACCGTGTTCGAATCCTGCAGGCGGGTACCAATTTTTCTAATGAAATACGTACTTAACAAATTTTCACGATTGACTTCCACGGTGAAGGAATAACATCGTGTAATAAAAATTAAACCCGCAAAATTATAATTTGCGTAATTACTGGTGGTAGGACCTCTTGTGAGTCCGCACGGGTAGGTACCATCGCCCCGCCTATTTCTGCCGTGAAGCAGTAATGCGTTTCAGTTTGAAGGGTGGGGCAGTCGTTGTAACTATACTGAGACCTTATAACTTATATCTCAAGGTGTGTGGCGCATTTACGCTGTAGATGTCTATGGGCTCCAGTAACCACTTAACACCAGGTGGGCTGTGAGCTCGTCCATACATCTAAGCAATAAAAAAAATATCTGCGTAGCGTAAGTTCGTCACTTTGATGTCATCGATGGTGATGCCTCCATCACAGGTACGCAGCGACTTGGATCTGCTTCTGGCTTTGCTGAAGTCCATAGGCGACAGTAACCATACATCATCAGGTGGGCCGTATGCTCGTCTGCATACAACGGCAAAGTTTTCTACGGTCTTACGCATGATGTATTCGCCGTATATATTAAACAGGATGGGTTATAGAATATACCTTTGGCGAAATCCTCTTTTGAACTTAAAATGGTTTGACATAGTATTGCCGAGCCTTATAGCGCGCTGGTTGCTGTAGTACAAGGATTGGAGAAGAGCTATAAGGTGCATGGGTACTCCAAGGTCTTGGAAGACTCGCCATAAGCAGCTTCAGATAACGCAGTCAAACGCCTTGCTTTAGTCAACGAAGCATAGGATACCAGGTATATCGAATTCTCAACATCTTTCTGTTAATTGCCGGCTGTTTAGGATCTGCTCACGTGTACCTGTGCCTTTGACAAAGTCAGCTAAATTCATATATATTTTATATGAAAGGGAATTAACTCACGGCCCACTTGATGTTAAGTAGATATCGAGGTACATAGTCACCATAAGGTGTATGCTGCCATCTATTTAGACCTGGGGCAAGTGATTATGGATTATCTAAGTTTCCTATATTTTAACTTTACGAATTATATTTTATGTGTGGTTAATTGTCCTTCAGGCAGACAATAATCAACTTAATACGTTTTAAAACTAACTTTCACGTATTTTCATATATGAAATGTATAATAATAGTAATAGAGCCGGTACTTGTTTCACAAAATATATTTTGTTAATTTTTATTTATTTATTAATCCATATTATAAAAAAATCATTTTTTTTTATTGCTTATTAGGGTGGACAATCTCACAGCCCACCTGGTGTTAAGTGGTTACTGGAGCCCATAGACATTTACAACGTAAATGCGCCACCCACCTTGAATAATAATAATTGTAAAAAATAGTTAACAAATAGTAATTAAAACAATAAAGAGATATATGAGAATGAGAGAAAGAGAGAGATAATGTCTTTTCTTTCAGCAAACTAGTAATTACTTTGAGCGGATAAGAATTAAAGATCAAATAATATGATAAATGAAGAAGACGATTTATATTACTTGCGATTCAATTAAAAACAATACTCTAATCGTCACCACCAAGCATTTTAATCGAAGTTTTAGGACATGTACTAAATACCTACTTCCGATCGAATTTCGTTAAGACTTCTGCTGACAAAATCCGTTTCTTGGAACGTAAGTAATTAATAACCTCAAATATTTGTTTCTTACATTCGGACGCCGCTGTTCGCCTTTCGGTTATCGTTGTTTTTGTTTATCTTATCATCGTTTTATCTACGCGATACGGTGTCATACTCGGCGTTTGACATAAGAGCGACGAACGCGTCTCCGTTTCTCGTCTACACGTAATATTTTTGTACCTGTTTTTTTTTTTATTTACGCGCCTTTTTGTTGAATCCTCGATACGTTTAATATGTGGAATTGAAGTTTTTGTTTTTATATGTAAGTACTTATCGTGGATCAATTTAGTGTATTTAATGGGTTTCTTTTCAGACAGTTTCAGTGGTAGCTTGTTTTGTTTTTTGGGTGTTTAGTTTTGTATGTTGGCAGGTGTAGAAGGTTCGGAAAGAGATTTTATTGTACTAAGGAGTGTTTACCGTTTTTTTTTCTATTGCTTATGTGGGTGGAATAGCTCACGGCCTACCTAGTGTTAAGTGGTTACCGGAGCCCATAGACATCTACAGAGTAAATACCGCCACCTACCTTGAGATACGAGTCCTAAGGTCTCAGTATAGTTACAACGGCTACCTCGCATTAATGCTTCACGGCAGAAATCGGCATGGTGGTGGTACCTACCCGTGCGGATTTACAAGAGGTCCTGGTTACTGGTATTTTGGTAGGCCAAACCAAAAAGTTGCCATAGTCATAGACGTGACATTACAGCCGCCCATCTTGAAGCCTGAAGTTGAAGTTTATTAAATAGTTGTCTAAAATCTCTGTCCCGCCCTTAAAACTGAAATGCACGTCGGCGATTTCAGAGCCCATTTCGTTCAATGATATCAGTGTGCTTAGTGGGTGCTTGCTACCCTGTCAGTGTTCTTTTGTGCGTCTTTCATTCGATTTACGTGAAGGTTACCTAGACAGGCTATGCCTGAATATATACCACAGACATTTAAGGCCAAGTGTTACTAGATTTAATTCGGTTTAAATGTTGCACTCTGCCAAAACCATTGAATCGCATGAATGATAACGATAGCTATCAGCCGATATGCAATGGGCACCGCCCTGTGCCCCACTCGTATTACTCAAATCATTATTGTTAGTCATCGTTTTTCAACGAGTTCTCAAAAACTATTTGAAAAACGTATTTCGAAATAGTCCTATTATTTATTATCTTTAATATTATTTGAATTGCTTTTAAGTCGGTCAGGGACGTTTTTTTGTTGTCACGTTGTGTTTATTGAAATGAAAAGTCGAGAGACATAATGCCATTAGCATACAAATTGTGATAAAAATTCCCCTTAATAACCTTTTCACTCCTTAATTCTCGACGTTTGTTGACTTCCCCCTAATTTTAATAGAGATAGCTTTTGCCCGCGACTCCGTCCGCCTGGAATAGTTACTTTGGCATTACACTAAATTTCACCCCCCACTTCATTTACGTAGAAAGTGAACATATTTTTGAATTATAGAATGTTAATGAGCTATTTTGGTAATGTTATATAGCCTTCCTCAATAAACGGGTTATCTAACACTGAAATAATTTCAAATCGGACCAGTAGTTCCTGAGATTAGCGCGTTCAAACAAACAAACTCTTGAGCTTTATAATATTAAGTATAGATAGAGCTTTTGATATCATCATCATCTTAGGCCTTACAGCCTAGGGTGGGCCTTAGCCTGGTCTGGTATGAACAGAGTAGTCTCTCCAGACTACTCTGTTCAGGGCTTTCTCCTTCCAGTTCTTGACACCGATAGCTTTGAGGTCGTGCTCTACGCCATCTGACCATCGGAGTTTGACTTCTGCGGCCCTCTGGTTTTCTATATAGTAGTTGTCTTGGGATTCTGGTCTCCTGCATTTTAACTACATGTCCTGCCCATCGTGGGCGTCCAATTTTTATAATTATTATCATCGAGATATAATGTACTACGTACTTTTTATATAATCTCGATGGTTATTATGATATTAGGAGGGCTTTTGATATTTACTTGGTATTTACTGGTGGTAGGACCTTGTGAGTCCGCACGGGTAGGTACCACCACCCTACCTATTTCTGTCGTGAAGCAGTTTCGGCAGCAGCGTTTCGGTTTGAAGGGTGGGGCAGCCGTTGTAATTATACTTGAGACCAACTTATATCTCAGGGTGGGTGGCGCATTTACTTAACACCAGGTGCGCTAGGAGCTCGTCCACCCATCTGAGCAATAAAATAAAATAAAAAATTTGATATGGTAGGAAGATATGGCTGTGAAGTAGTAAATAGTAGTAACTCAAGTGTTGTATGTCCTAATCTTCTAACTAATGGCTAGACAGGCTTTTATTATGTAAGACCTTCGAACCTCTTTTAAGCGTATCGAAATCAATGAGACAATAAAATACTATTCCCCTTTCAGAATCACTCAGTCCGAGCCGACATCATAGTCAACTGAGTATAATCTTTCAAGATGTTAGTCGCGTCGCTTAACAGTCTCTCGCCGCGTCTGCGGTTCCAATTTAGCAAACCGAAGATCGAGAATGTGGCCTTCAGGCTGCATTACCAGCTGACTGTGACGATTTTGCTGGCTTTAGTGATCCTGGTCTGCGCTAGAGAGTATTTCGGGGATCACATCAAATGTCTTTCGGATCAGGGTGTGCCCGACCATGTCATTCAGACGTACTGCTTCTTCATGGCCACTTTTACTATAGTAAGTAGTATACCTTGATTGACTTAGAATAATAATATTTTATTTTTAACTAATATCTACTATTTATGGTTAAGAGCAACGTTGTATAACTGTTTCAATAGAATAAATAATGGAAAGTGCTCAATGGCGTGCAATTGTAGAGGTCTGTGTCCAGCAGTGGACTGATATAGGCTGTTGATGATGATGATAATACTTTTGAACCTGTATTCATTTTGAACTATTACGGATACTTTTATCATGGTAAATGACAAGATCCTCGAAGCACAGGGCTGCTAAATGGTGCTAAGTATAATAAATAAGATAGTGTGTCTAGTGGTTTAAGATTTTACGTGCAAACAAAAGTACAAATACATAGATTTGTAGATTACATACCGAAGAGTGACAAACTCAGCTGTTTATTCCGTGAAAATGCAACATATTTCATTATTTTCGACTTACTAATTTAGCGGAGTAGAAACCACGAGATTCGTGTAGTTTGTTGAATAAAATCTCTTTTCTGGTTCAATGAAGTACAGATGTATCGGGCTGCAATCATTTTAATAACAGGTGATCTTAAACACAGAGTGCAATTTATGTTTTCTTTCGGATCCTTGGGAAGGATATTTTGTATTCGATCTTGGTGTTATTCTAGTATCGTATGTCTGTCCGCTACAGATAACAAACTAGAGAATCCTAGATTAATGCTAGAGATAAAAAAGTTATTAATTTTAACCTCTCATTACGTTTCGTTACTCCCTATCACTAGTTTTTACTGGTGGTAGGACTTCTTGTGAGTCCGCGCGGGTAGGTACCACCGCCCTGCCTATTTATGCCGTGAAGCAGTAATGCGTTTCGGTTTGAAGGGTGGGACAGCCGTTATAACTATACTGAGATCTTAGAACTTATATGTCAAGGTGGGTGGCGCATTTACGTTGTAGATGTCCAAGTATTTCCTTGATTTACCAATCAATAGTTTATACAATCAAGTCTAGAGATAACTCGAGAGGCCTGCCTTTGATACAAAGTACAAAGTATAATAGTAATGACGCACAATCGTGCAGCACACGACAAATAGTCATACTGGTGATTAATACAGCATGTGCAACAGATTAGGTATTTGTGAGATAAATAGACAACAAAGCATTAGAATTATTTGGCCATATGCAAATTAATTTAATAATTATTATTATTATACTAGCTGACCCAGCATACTTCGTAGTGCCTCAATCGATAAATAAAAGACCTAAGTTTTTGTATAAAATAAACTTAAAACAAACAAAAAGAATCCGTCTGACAGGACACATTAAAGGAAAAACAAAATTGTTATTTTTATTTAACCCCGATTTTATAATTATTTATTTATATTTAAGTGGTTAACGTTGCCCATAGACATCTACAATGTAAATGCCGCCACCTCCTTGAGACAAGAGTTGTAAGTTCTCACTTTTAGCAGTACAACGGCTGCCTTGCCCTTCAAACCGAAACGGATTACTGCTTCACGGCAGAAAAAGACAAGGTGGTGGTACCTACCCGTGCGGACTCACAAGACGTTCTACCAACAGTAATTACGCAAATTATAATCGGATTATCGGCAATTTTAAAACGATTATGGCAAGGGGGTTGAATGTTTTCTTATAGAGAATGTGGATATTAATTCTATGCGTTGAACAGCAATTTATTCCAGTGCTATCTTGGCCTGAAACACTACAAGTCGATCTCGTGTCGTGGGTGTCGTAAATCAAATTTTTTTTTGATCGTTTGGAGCCTCTGGGTTTGCGGAGGGACTTCGGTTCCCTCTGTATTTTGTACCGTATGTTCCATGGGGAGTGCTCTGAGGAGTTGTTCGAGATGATACCGGCATCTCGTTTTTACCATCGCACCGCCCGCCACCGGAGTAGAGTTCATCCATACTACCTGGAGCCACTGCGGTCATCCACAGTGCGTTTCCAGAGATCTTTTTTGCCACGTACCATCCGGCTATGGAATGAGCTCCCCTCCACGGTGTTTCCTGAGCGCTATGACATGTCCTGCTTCAAACGAGGCTTGTGGAGAGTATTAAGCGGTAGGCAGCGGCTTGGCTCTGCCCCTGGCATTGCTGAAGTCCATGGGCGACGGTAACCACTCACCATCAGGTGGGCCGTATGCTCGTCTGCCTACAAGGGCAATAAAAAAAAAAAAAAAAAAAAATCAAATCAAATCAAATCAAAAAAAATTTATTTAACATTAATGAAAGTACATACTTGTTGAACGTCAAAAGAACTACCGCCAATTCACAAGAACTAGCCTCCGTCCTGAGAAGAATTGGCAAGAAACTCAGCGGGCATGTCTTTTTCTTTTTTTTAATATTAGATTTTTTTTTTAATATTCATTTTTACAATGAGTATTATAAGGTAACAATAATAACAATATTGAAATGCCCGGAGCGAGCAACTCATTCCCACTTTGTGCAATCTTCTAGATAATCATTGACTTTATAGTATTATTTTTCTTAAACCTATGTATATGTAGGTAAAAAGCGATTAACGAACTCACCAATAAATAAGTAAGTAGCTTGCTCTAAGTATTACAGCAACAAGCAATGTTCGGCAAATGGCAATTATTGATGGCAGAAAGTATTTTGAGAACGCGTGGGCGGTATGAGACAAGCTTTGATTGATTTTAGTGTCTCAAGGTGGGTGGCGCATTTTGTGTTGACTAACTGCTGAACTTTGGGAGGTCTGTCAACTCATTTGCCTATCGATGCCACTTAAAAACTTTCTCCAAATAATCCACTTATTTAATGTGATCGATTGTGTAATGATTAAAATTCTATTTCATCATCAGGTTCGTCATTACAATGAGAGTCTACTTCAAGGAGAGTTCCTGCCTCATCCCGGAGTAGGGCCCATCCTTGCCACAGACGAGACCATCCACCATACGTATTACCAGTGGGTACCTTTCGTACTCTTCATCCAGTCGATATGCTTCTACCTGCCTCATTACATATGGAAGACAAAAGAAGGTAAAGTGATTTATAGAACTTACATTAATAGTATTTTGTACCGTATGTTCCATGGGTAATGCTCTGAGGAATTGTTTGAGATGATACCTTCATCTCCTTTTTATCATCGTACCTCCCGCCATCGGAACAGAGTTCAACCATATTACCTGGAACCGCTGCGTTCATCGACAGTGCGTTTCCAGAGGTCATTTTTGCCACGCACCATCCGGCTATGGAATGAGCTCCCCTCCCCTCCAGGGTGTTTCCCGAGCGCTATGACATGTCCTTCTTCAAAAGAGGCTTGTGGAGAGTATTAAGTGGTAGGCAGTGGCTTGGCTCTGCCCCCGGCATTTCTGAAGTCCATGGGCTACGGTAACCACTCACCATTAGGAGGCCGTATGCTCGTCTGCCTACAAGGGCAATAAAAAAAAATATAGAGCAGCAATTAGACAATTCAATAAGACAGCACAAATGGGGTGTTCGCTTTTGACGGTTTCATTGTATTTTGCTATTTATTTTTTGTATTAAATCACAAATCTACGATTATTGTGATGAAGTGGGTAACTCGTCGCGAATTTATGTCAGAAGTTCTGTTAATTTTAATAATTAATTTAATGATAGATAAATCACATAATTCAAGTAATAAAAAAAAAGAACACAATATTCCTAACCTAAAAGTACATGTTATTATCCGCAACATGCTTCGTCAGATTACAGAAATAAATCTATCAGCAACATGCTTCGTCAAAAAGTACAATACTTACTTTCAGCTGCAAGCGTCGTCATTATTTTAATTGTAACCGAAGTTCTGAGTCAGCATCAAATCGATTGTTAAATGAAAATTTTTTGCGATTTTATGTCTTTCTAAAGCCCCTTTTTGTATGAGATGGGAGAAGTGCACTCTAGCATTATAATGATTGTGGTTATATAAGCTCACAGTCTAGTACTAAAATTTTAATAATAGTTAAAAAACTGAAGAAATAATAAGCTAATTTAAAAAAAAAAGGATTCATCTTTTACCCTGTCGATACTGGTCATCATATTAGAGGGAAGTTATAAAATTATTGTACTGACATCGGTACTTGATGCGTGTGTAAATTTTCAAGTTTTCGGACGTCTTAAAGTCTGTGAAAAGCACGTTCAAATATTCCGTTACTTATCAAACAGACATGTGTACGTTCGCACATATCGTACCTTTAGAATTGAAGTGGCTTAATCCAAAATTTATGTTTTTTTTTTAGTAAACGCCATAATGTAATTGAAGAATTGTAATTTTTTAGTTTTGATTATAATACTTTAAGCCTTAAAGCTTAATGTATGCGCTTGATTTTAAAGAGACGGAAGGTGTACTTGGACCTTTTCTAACTAAAATTCTATATGAATTTTTCACTTTAAAAATTTAGTTTTATAAACTGATAGAATACATGTTTATAAGTCGTTGAAAGTATACAACTAATTTTCTCAAAAATTTTAGTTAAGCAACTTCAATTCTAAATGTCTAATATGTACGAGTTTCTTTTTTTTTATTGCTTACATGTGTGGACGAGCTCACAGCCCACCTGGTGTTAAGTGGTTACTGGAGCCCATAGACATCTACAACGTAAATGCGCCACCCACCTTGAGATATAAGTTCCACGGTCTCAGTATAGTTACAACGGCTGCCCCACCATTCAAGCCGAAACGCATTACTGCTTCATGGCAGAAACAGGCAGGGCGGTGATACCTACCCGTGCGGACTCACAAGTCCTACCACCAGTAATGTATGTATCAGTCAATGAAAGCGGGTTAAAAATACGCTCATATTAAAATTTACAAGTTATTTGTATATACATGGTTTACAATTTGGATTGTCCCGTTCCATTGACACAGTATTTCAGTTGACAAAGACACGAGAGCTCGATGTGATGTTTTATCTTATCGCTTATAATTCAGGTTAGAGTGTTGTCGACGTATCAAATCGACAGAGCGGCTTCGGGAGATCGTATTAGATAACAACGCGTCGATGGCTCGAAGACTTTTATTATTTCTTATGATATTTTATTGGAGAAATAGTTGCGCGGTTAGCCGAATGGCAGCATGGTTCAGGATTGAAGTTACAAGAGACTGGGCTATATGGTTTCAACTAGTCTATAGTTCTATGTACCCTGTGAAGTGTTATTCAGCCCTCAATTCTCAGGTCTTCGTTCTCGTCGAACCCGTCCCTTGCGACGAAGGGCTCGACGAGTAAATTAACCTTCAGAACAGCCCACTGAGTTTCTCGCCGGATCTTCTCAGCGGGCGGGTTTCCGATCCCGTAGTAGATTCTGCGAAGCACTGCTCTTGCTAGGGTTAGTGTTAGCAACGACGTCAGGTTTGAGCCCCTGTTTGAGTAACTGTACTGTGTTCACTCACCAATACTTAGAACTCATATCTCAAGGTATACATATCAATTCATATCTCACCTTGAGATATGAGAGAGATTGATATACTGACATAGATGTATATAGATTGACGTAGATGCCTATGGGCTCCGGTAACCACTTAACATCAAACAAATGTTCACTATTGACTTCCACGGTGAAGAAATAAGATCGTGTATTAAAAATGACACCCGCAAAAATTATAATTTGCGTAATTACTGGTGGTAGGACCTCTTGTGAGTCCGCGCGGGTAGGTACCACCATCTTACCTATTTCTGCCGTGAAGCAGTAATGCGTTTCGGTTTGAAGGGTGGGGCAGCTGTTGTAATTATACTGAGACCTTAGAACTTGTATCTCGGGGTGGGGGCGCATTTGCGTTGTGGATGTCTATGGGCTCCATTAACCACTTAACGCCGGGTGGGCTGTGAGCTCGTCCACCCGTCTAAGCTATAAAAAAAAAAACCCAGGTGGGTGTGAGCTCGTCCACCCACCTAAGTAATAAAAAATAACAAAAATACGAGAGTATTCGTAAACGATATAAAACCTAAGTGACTAATATATGCAAATGGGTAGGTGGCAGGATAAAGGCCCTGGTTGACGGACTCCAGTACGCTGGACTGGCGCTCCACGACGACGACATCACCGTCAACGGCACCACAGTACCTTCAAAGAAGACCCTCGAGAACAAATTGGATTCAATTAGGAAGGACATCATATTAAGGTTGGTGGATTTTTGTATAAATAAATCTCGAAGCATTTTTTAATAATAATGTGGCTGCCCTATAGTTTTGTTTGAAATATTTTTTTAAAACGAGCGTGAATTATTCTTGTTTGAGTTAGTTACCAGGAGCGTGGGGCGTCCTCCAACCAGGTGGACCGACGACTTAGTGCGCACGGCGGGAAGTCGTTGGATGTGGAAGGCGGAGGACCGCATTCTGTGGAAGGCATTGGGGAAGGCCTATATTCAGCGGTGGGCAGATAAAGGCTGATGATGATGATGATGATGAAGTTAGTTGATACCTAATTGAGAGTGTAAATACAATCAATCGAGTCCATAACATAGTCTACAGATTCGCGATACCTTACATATTTAATTTACATGCAAAATGTCTGATGTCTAATATTATGTCTTCTTATCTTATCTTATCTTATAATATTATAAAGAGGAAAGATTTGTTTGTTTGTTTGTATTGAATAGGCTCCGAAACTACTGAACCGATTTGAAAAATTCATTCACTGTTTGGAAGCTACACTATTCCCGAGTGACATAGGCTTATAGTCTTTTTTGAAAAAAATTAGGGATCCTTACTAAAACTGCATTAATGTAACCCAAGGTGTAAAAAATTACCTAAAATATTCTTTACATCGCGTGCCCTGCGAACACTATTGATGATAGAATAAAATAATGTACTAAGATTTTGTAGAACACATTATTATTTACAAAAAGTGTCGCAACAGTAGTGTTCTTTTATTTAAAAAAATAAAACAACGTCAAATATCGTTGAAATTTATGTTAAAGACCCGAGCGGAGCCGGAGCGGGCCGCTAGTAATTAATAAAGCGATTGCATCAGAGATACAGATCCTTACCACCGTAGACAAAAATATCTTATTTTTAAATAGTGTGACACACTTGACAAGAGGCTAGTGACACTACAATGTGTCGCGACACAGAGCCATAGAGCCGCTTCTCTAGAAAAAAACAGCAGGATGAATGCATATATGAACTGTAATCGTTGAAGGAAATTTAATGGAATTTTAACTAAAAAAATCAGATTGACAATGAACACAAACTAATAGACAAAATGAATATAAATCTTGAGATATCGGCGATTATGATCGTGTTATTAGCCCACTGAGTTTCTCGCCGGATCTTCTCAGTGGGTCGCGAATTCGATCCGGTGATAGGTTCTGCGAAGCACTGTTCTTGATAAGGCTAGTTGTTAGCAAATTCTCTCAAGTTGAGCCTGTGAGCTCATTTACCTATCCGCGCGTACGGAATAGCCTCTTAGGCTACCGGCGAATAGGTAGAGGATAAATCGTGTTTTGATCACAGAGCTAGTATTAATTAACAGTTAAATGTGTACAACAAAAGGCTAACCATTTGACCTACAAACTTCAAATTATAAATTACAATACGGAAAACTGAATGGTTTTAAATGGCGTCACGCCGGAAATCGTTTTTGGGATGGCCTGCGAGTCATCGTGCGAAATCAGTGTGCTTTTAAATTAACTATGCTCATTTTTGTTTCTCTCAATGACGTTCAAAGCAAACTTTAGTTATGTCATGGTAGGTAAACATTACACCTAGATGCTAGAAGTACTATTTACAGAAAAGGGTGGGTGGGACTTCAAATAAATGGAAATTAAGTGTACTTACCGCGATTTTTGATCTTGTATTTAGGTATACCTTGAGACATGAGTTTTAAATCCACTTACCATCCGGCTTTGGAATGAGCTCCCCTCCACGGTATTTCCCGAGCGCTATGACATGTCCTTCTTTAAACGAGGCTTGTGGAGAGTAGGTAGGTATTAAGCGGTAGACAGCGGCTTGGCTCTGTACCTGGCATTGCTGAAGTCCATGGGCGACGGTAACCACTCAGTATCAGGTGGGCCGCATGCTCGTATGCTTACAAGGGCAATAAAAAAAAACTCAGTTCTATAGTACGGTTGTCTTGGCCTTTAATACTGAAAGCATTATTGCTTTGCGGCAGACATTGGGAGGTACCTACCCGTGCGGGCTAACAGTGTGTTCTATCACCAGTAGGTATAGTCTAATTAATCCTAGTGGTAGGTCAGTCTAGTTTAACGGTGCTTTTAGGTACTTCAAGCACCGGTCACCGTTCTCGTCGAACCCGTCGCTTGCGACGAAGGGCTCGACGAGTAAACTAACTCTCAGACACAGCCCACTGAGTTTCTCGCCGGATCTTCTCAGTGGGTCGCGTTTCCGATCCGGTGGTAGATTCTGCGAAGCACGGCTCTTGCTAGGGTTCGTGTTAGCATCGTCGCCAGGCTTGAGCCCCGTGAGCTCACCAACTAGCCACGGTTACGCTGGAATAGCCGCTCCAGGCTACCAGCTTAGGTAGGAAAAAAAAAAAAAAATTGCGATATTACTGAACCAAAGTTTCGAAAGTGAAAATTGTACTTTATTGTTGTGAAAATAACATCGCAGAACATATTTAAAATTCATTTCACTCGTTCTTAAAAGAAGAAAAAAAAACAATGTGTCATTTACAAATATGTTTTGTTTTTTATTCAAATATGACCCGAATTCTGAGATTATTTCAAAGCAGTTTGCCAGAATTGTTATTTATTTTGAGTGTAACAAGCGCTCTACTTTGATAACGATTGTTTAAATGTCATGTACTACTGTGGTCATATGCATACAACAAATAATGTGGGCACTTTTCTAGAACTTCACCTGTACACCTGTTTAGAAATAATTAATTATATCATTAATAAATACAGCTTTAAAGATATGCAATATGCGAACCTCTAGTAAATGCGAAAATATAAACTCACAAATTTAAATCTAATTAAAACAAAAACAAAAAGTTGTAAATATTCTAGTTCCCCAGTGAGCCATGAGTTCTGGTTTCAAAGATATTGTGTACAACAGAGTTTATATTTCGACTTCATGACTCAAGATGGGTTTCTTTGTTATATTTGTACACAGAGAACCTGGTGGACATAAGCAATACGAAAAGAGCACAGCCAAATCCCTGTCTATAATGTTAGAGGAATACGTTGTGCGATGTCTATGTATTACAGTAGTTAGTTCCCTTATCGCAAGTGGTCCATGGGCTTGTTAAGCCAAAGTTGAAAATAATAATATCGATGGCCATTTTATATTTAATGTTAAGGTTAAAAGATAACCCAAGGTTTTGAATGAAAAGGTTGAAGATATCGAGGACGTGGTCGACTTGGCTCGTCTCCATGGAGGTCGCGAATCTGCTGCACGTCATGTTCCAGGTGTGGGTGATCAACAAGTTCCTAAACGGGGCGTTCATGTCACTAGGCCCCAGAGTCCTCGAAACGAAAGACTGGAGCCACATAGTCGATCCGCTGGAGCTTGTGTTTCCGAAGGTGAGCTTATTGTGGAGAATAATGAAAGAAAGAAATGTATACCAATTGAATACTATTAATCTATTCCATTAAATTTCATATTCAGTATTTTTTTCTAGTTCTGGAAATTAAGACAGCTTTAGAAATTATACTATACCTGTTATAGTATTTTATTACCTATCTAGATTATATTTTTATTGCTAAAATCGGTGCACGAGCTCATACTCTACCTGGTGTTAAGTGGTCAGCGGGGCAGGCATCAGCTATGTAAATGTTGCCATCCACCCGAAGACATCAGTTCTAAGTCCCAGTTTGTACAATAAAACGGCTGACCCACCCTTCAAACCGAAACGCATTACTGCTTCACGGCAGGAACAGACAGGGTGGTGGTACCTACCCGTGCGGACTCATAAGACGTCCTACCACCACTAGGTACAGTCTAATACTAGCGGTAATCCAGTCTAGTTTAGTCTAATAGAAAGAACAGCTGCAATGCGACTTGCGACTGATGATGGTGATGTTCGGAAAATTCATTTATTTACGTGCACTTTGGACTTTTTCTGCTTCTAATAGGTAACGAAGTGCATCTTCCACAAGTACGGTCCGAGTGGCTCAATCCAGCAACACGACGCGCTCTGCGTAATGGCCCTCAATATAATCCACGAGAAGATCTACACAGTGCTTTGGTTCTGGCTACTTTTCCTTTTCATCGTCTCCTTATTGGGTAAGTTGGCTATTGGTGAAGGCGCTGGTTATTGGGCGTACTTTGAGTCCGGGTATAGGACTGTGTATAATCTATTTCCACTGCAAAACAATCAGGTGGATTGCCGGTTTCCAATGCTTGTGAGATTTTGACTTAATGATTAGTGTTGACATATATGTATTCGCGACCGTTCACAATTACCCGCTCATTTGTAGACATTAGATGCTCGTCTGTAAAATTAAACGCTAATTCCTGAGCTCAAATGTGTTCAGCCATAAGTTCCAGGTTAACTACAGACCATCCAGTTAGACCCATGATAAGATAACTTAATAGAAGAATAAATTTTTCAAGGGTCGTAAAGAAAATTTAGGACAAAAAGGAATTCTAACAAATAAAAACGTTTAAATTAATATTAGAATTGAATCATCTGAATTGAATATTCAGCGGGGTTGTCAGCAGTAATTTGTTCGACGGACGACTTATAGATCGGCCCTGAATCGTTAATCTGGTTGCACTTCTCAATGAGACACTTCCCCCGCAGCTGTGATATGGCGGGTAATTTCGTTTTTCCTGTACCGCCGGTCGCTGCGGTTCAACGAGATGATGTTCCGTCACGTGAGCAACGCCAAGTTCAACCCGTACAACGTCATCAGGGTGGTCAACGGCTGCGAGTTCGCCGATTGGCTCTTCCTCTATTACCTAGCGAAGAATATGCAAGGCTTTGTATTCCAGTAAGTGCGTTTTCATAAATACTGCCTTTAGACTTTGAGGTATTTGGATGCCCATCCGAATTTCGCGTTTTTGACGTTAGACCAATTTAGTTCGACATTTTTCCGCATTGTTACTGGTGCTAGAACCTCTTGGGAGTCCGCGCGGGTAGGTATCACCACCCTGCCTATTTCTGGCGTGAAGCAGTGATGCGTTTCGGTTTGAAGGGTGGGGCAGCCGTTGTAACTATACTTGAGACCTAAGAACTTATATCTCAAGGAGGGTGGCGCATTTACGTGGTAACCGCTTAACAGCAGGTGGGGCGTGAGGTCGTCCACCAACTTAAGCAATAAAAAAAATAAAAACAGTTAGACCCATTTAGTTCGACATTTTGCCGCATCCTTCAGGTCACACATACACTCGTTAATAACTTTAAGAACACCACCCAGTGTCTAAATTGTAGTGGGCTCTATATTATGACCTACGATCGACAAATGAGGCATTTTGGCTGATGTTGATGAAGGCGATAGTACTGACTATACTCTCTCTATTCCTCTTCATAAGACGGTTCTGTTTATAATTTAGTTTTGAGGATATTCTGGTAGATGAGCTAAATAAATAAAAATAAATATATACTTAACTTCTTCTTCATTCACCTATTTCTTTTTAAGTTCAATGTTCTTGTGACGCGGGGCGAAATTTATCTTCAGTATACATTGTCGATTTTTGACATAAGAGATTTATTCCTTATGTCAATTTACGTACATTCAATCCAACTCCAGCTTCGACAACAGCTACAATTGGTGGTAGCTGTTTTATTAAACTTTCACATTTTTTCAACATTTTTGCTCATTTTGTAGATAAGATAAGATTAGATTTTGTTAATCTTTCAGGGCACTATTTGTGCGATTAGCGGAGGAGTTGGAGAAAAGAGAACTGCCTTACGATGACCAAGGCACGGAGGAGAAGGGAGCTGAACCAATATTAGTCGGAAAAGTAGATATTGACGACGAAACTATGCCGTTAAAAAGAGATAAGAAATCATCGTGATGAAATTACGGAGGACGGAAGTAATATGGATATTCCTATTATATATTACTACCAACGCTACTATTCTTATTCCAAAATACTTATACAGCGACATTTGACCAGTGTTATTTTTAGGGACATGAGATTATTTTTACTTTACATTGGACTTCGTCTGGCTTCGAATACAAAACTGTTCTAAGTTTGGGTGTTCAAATCCTTTTAGGTCGGCGAATTATGGTAGAACTTAAGAAATAACTCGTTTCAATATCTACTCAATTACCCTCCATTGTGTCTGCCGTGAAACAGAGTTGAGTGGCAAAACAGCAAATGCAAATCAAGCACTCACCGGTTTAATTTAAAAAAATCAATCACTTCTCGAATTCCCGTTCACGGCGCGACATTTGAAAACAATTTCGCTTTAAAAATGAACAAACACATCGAACGTTCTAGCTATTACTTAGTCATTATATCATTTCGTACAAATAATCATTAGTTGAATACAAATATTCGATTACGAAATTCACTTGAAGTGGTTTTGTGATTCTTGACAATTATCAGACAAGTTGCTGCTTGAATCGCTATGACATTATGATTTAACGCTAAATGACGTCACTGATCACTTGTTAGGATCACGTTAATGATACATTCAATAAATTTAAATATAAATAAATGTTTTACTCGTGCATTTGTTATTTCATTTGCATTTAATGTAATGTGCAAAATAGACAATACGTTTTCCACATTTTTTACAGTTTAATAATATGTAAACTGGTTACCCAGTGATTGAAATTGGACCGCAATTCAGTGTTCCAAACATTTACCAACGCAAGCACTGCATTATATTATATACCTATATTTGGAACATTTAACATCAATATTTTTATCTTTCTGCGCTCTTCTTTGTTATTATATAAACTTTAAATATGCCAAGTCATGTTATCGAAATGTCATATCGAAGATACAATAAAATTATATTGAGTTATTTAGTTTCGTAACATTCGCTCGATTAACATCAGAAATAAGCCGGATGGTAACTGCGAACCCGTCGAAATCAGAACACGTAAAAACTATTTTATCGGCATTTAGATTTTATCTAGTACTAAAACGTTAATGTGACTCGGCAAATCTGTTTAATTACCCGAAATGTACTATCTTTTAAAATTTACTGTCAATACGTATACTGTTAGTAAGTATATACTGTCAATAATCTGTAAGTACTATCCTTTAAAATTTACTGTCAATAAGATAATGGTTTCCGAGTATGGTAATGGTAGTGATTCACAAAAGCAAATTTTAATTTCGTATTTCCTCATCGCTTAAAAGCGTATCTAAAAAGAAATGGAAACAGAACTCAATTAAATCTGGACGGTTTTAAATTTTAAATTGCTTTATTTCAAATCATTAATTAGCGAACTCGTTCTATTGTAATTCAAGAGAAAGAATCTAAAATGAAAACAGAATGCACAAAAAATACATATACATTTATAGACATTTGCTCATTCCAAATTGTTAATGCTATTATAATTCTTATCGAGCCGCATTAAATACATATAAAAATTAGACTAATTATTAAGTAATTAACACGTCGGTGGATCAGAAAAGGGCAAGCGAAACATAAGCCGGCCTACCTTAAGTGTCCATGTAGTTTAAGTTGGCTTATGATTTCACAATTTTACCACTTTATTATTAACTCGCATTCTTATCTGTTCGGATGGAATTTTATGATTTTTTTCCCTACCAATGCTGTAATTGCAATGCTGTAAATTTAAAATGCCAGTAATTCTACATTGCATTTTTTTTTTTCTGTTACTACTTTCCATTTCAATATTAGGTACACTACGTTTATTATGGCTGGCTGTAAGAGATTAGTATTTTAATTTTTAATCAAAGTATTTTTATTATATTTCTTTTTTTTTTTAATTATAATATAGTTTAGAATGTTATACATATTAATATCGATTGCACGTTGAAGTGGCGTTCGGAAAAATTCTGAATGTTGGCAGGCTCCCTTTGGACGCTTGAAAACTCCCGGAAATTTTACCGAACATTTGCTTCCTTGTGACAGTCGCGTTAAAGACGAATAGAAATACTGGCTGGATCGGTACAAACATATGAGGCTGTCAGCGCAAAAGTGGTAAAACCCACAATTTTTTATATTCAAGGTATAATAATATATGAATTTATTTCAAATATAATAAATTTTGGTGCAAAATCGGCCTATCCATAGTTTCACCCATAGATAACAGATGGCTTTGTAAAAATTATTTTTGCGAGAAAGTTTTTTTTGCCTAATCAAATTGAAATTCATGAAAACTTAAACCTCATCCTCCATACCTTGTAGTATGATAAGATTAGGCCACTTTTGCGCTGACGGCCTCCTATAGCGTGCGTCCGGGCCATGACATAAACACCCCGTGACGAATGTATTGCTCAAATCTTCGATCAATAATACTACTAGATTCGCGATTAGCGCTTCAAAAGCGGCCCGAAAAATAAGACCACAAATAAATTTGTGGTCTTATTTCAAATTAGTATGGTCCAATCATAGCCAACACTAAGACGTCAAAACGCTGCAATGCGCGTTCAAAAACTGAGTAAAAAACCACCGTAACACCAAGGTTTTGGAAGGAATATCTTTTTTTGGTAAATTTATATTATTAAGTGTTTTTCATAAAATAATAAACACAATTATATTGTAAATAAAACACAATTTACGAATATTGTAATTGTTTGGCCAATGTTTGCAACAAGGCACCAACTATTGTAACAAACATCACCTATTCTTAGACAGGGAATGCATAGAGTAGTTTTGTTATTTTATAATGTTATTTTTGTTTGTAGATTTCCTAGTAGCCCCTTGTCGCTGTGCACAATGGATATATATTGTCGCGAAAGAAAGAGGAGAAGAAATATAGAACTCTTATAAAAATTCTAGAATTGTTCAATGGTGGTGGCAAATCAATGCAAAAAAGTATTAAAAAAACTTTATATGTATGTGTAAATATTTTAAGCGTATATGCTGAAAAGGATTTGTTTTCTGGGGGAAACGAACACAGCCATAAAATAAGCCTAAATTAAACTGATTATAGAAAAATTCATTGATATAAGATTACATTATATTTGTAAAAAAGAAACCGCTCATATAAAAATGACTTCTAAAAGACAGCTTTATAACAAACTGAATCTGTTTAAAGGTAATTAAACCTACATTATTGTTTTAATTACTTCTGTATAAAGAATACGTGGAAAACATGTTTCGTGTTTCCTTTCATATTTTTTTTACTTTATTCAATTTTATTTTTTATCACCTATTTGTTGTAATAGCGGCAATGTAAAATATTATCTACTACTTTTTTGAATCGGTCAAAAATAGTTGCGACCATACAAAACAAACCTAAAACAAATATGTATATTCTGCAACTCTATGTCTTTCAATACTTACTGTGTTCTGAGCATTGAAATGTAATACCAAGAACTACATCTAGTTCCACAATACAATAAGCACGAAATTTTAAACAAATATTTTTAACCTTATAAATTAAGCTTTAAGTATCATTTTAGAATAAATATTTTTGTACTGATGACTTTTTATGTTCAAGTGACATTTTAAATTTATTCCATAATATTCTTTTTCTGACGAAAGGACCTAAATACATATATTTTGCAATGGTAATTAAACTTTATGTTTAAGTATTAAGGTTTATAATAAACTGAAGTCGTTAACATTATTAAACTTTTTTCTAAGAAATGAAGATGTTTTCGTGTCTGCAAACGTGGCCACGGGAGCGTCTTATTTTTGTTCCTGATCCGTAATCTAGTACTATTATTGATCGAAGGCTCAAATGATGAGATTTATTAAATTTTGTTGAATAATTTCTAGTTAAGTTTGTTTAAAATTATAAGGTTGTCTAGTCCTTGTGTATTTTTACTAAATGTGATTTAATTCTAATTGCGAATAAAGTGCGTGATTGTTTTGATATTATACGATTTTTATTGGTAACGTATCTTTGCCGCGGCGCGCTCTGACATCTTAGTATTTGGACGAACTTGTTTTTTTGAAACTGTTTGCGTACTAACTATTATCAGAACTTAACAATAACCATGTCAGAAACCGTCCAAGAAATATTTTTATTTTTTTATTGCTTAGATGGGTGGACGAGCTCACAGCCCACCTGGTGTTAAGTGGTTACTGGAGTCCATAGACATTTACAACGTAAATGCGCCACCCACCTTGAGATATAATTTGTAAAGTCTCAGTATAGTTACAACGGCTGCCCCACCTTTCAAGCCGAAACGCGTTACTGCTTCACGGCAGAAATAGGCGAGGTGGTGGTACCTACTCGTGCGGACTCACATGAGGTCCTACCACCAGTACCATCTCACTGTGAACTACAAAAATTCAGCTTAAATACATAAAACACTAACTAAAAGACATATATTATCGTAAAGTTATACATATTTAGTAAGTTGAGATATTTATTTGTAATCGATTATTACTGCTTCAGTACAAGGACAGGTTGCTTTTTACTCTTTATCAGGGTAGTGAGGCAGTCGGTCAATATAAAAATATTGCTCCAATTTATTATTACAATTAAAATGTTACGTTAGTGATGTCGCTTCGTCTCGTGAGAAAGCGCATTCGTCACTCGCCTTCTCGTTATATTACGCTCACACGAAATAAAAAACACAAGACTAAGTATGCGTCACATCACTCAAAGAATATTGTGCTCCGTTTAAGATATTATAGTATTTGTAGTATACGCGTTATCATACCTTATAGGAAATTTAATGATTTTAGAAATTATTTAAATTTGTACGATAATTCATAACGAGACAGCGTATTTATTGTTTATTTCACTGATTATGATTGCAACGACGAGTCAGACAAAACGTAGGTATGAGAAATAAACAAGGTCGTGCCCCTTCTAAATGTTGTTTGTTCTATTCAATATTTAATCGGAACCTTGTTTTTCGAATTATTACAACAAACAGTTGTAATCAGTGATGTGCGGAAGACAATATGTGTAAATATTTTTGGTTGTTTAATCAGTTAACACGCTCCAAAAGAGACTTGTGATTTTAGAGGCAGTAATGTTATCAACTAGCGATATATGCATTATTAGCGATTTTTTTCCCCTACCTACTTATTCACTAGTAGCTTAGAGGGCTATTCCAACTACGCCTTTGATCGGTAGGTGAGCTCACGGGCTAAGCCTGGGAGAATTTGTTAACACTAGCAGCAAGAGCTGGGCTTCGCAGAATCTACCACCGGATCGGAAACGCGACCCACCGAGAAGATCCGGCGAGAAAGTCTGGGCTGTGTTTATTCTATAGGTGGTTGTCTGAAGGGCAGAATAACCACCATATCATACACGACCTCATATTGTATCTCCATATCCGATCCTGTGGACCGAATGGTAAACAGTCGACGTCGCCCTAAACACTTCATTACGGATCCTCCCGATCCATTAACGGTGCTTTTATGTACCACAAGCACCGGTCACCGTCCTCGCCGAACCCGTCGCTTACGACAAAGGGCTCGATGAGTAAATTAACCATAGACACAGCCCACAGAGTTTCTCGCAGGATCTTTTCAGTAGGTCGCGTTTCCGATCCTGTGGTCTGCTGCACTACTCTTGCTAGGGCCAGTGTTAGCAACACATCCAGTTTGAGCCGCGTGAGCTCACCTACACGTCAAGGAGAAGCTGAAATAGCCTCTCAAGGCTATCAGCATAGGTAGGAAAAAAATATATATCTTTAGGTGCTCTAGGGTTGCGATATTTAACCTGTAACCGCTTCACGCCAGGCGTACAAACCGCTCGTCGCAAAGATCGCTGTTACATTACTGTTTACAAGCGGCGTGAACAAGTCGATGGTTGTAGTGATGTATTGTATATGAAAAAGCTCCCTCCTGAAGCGAGTTCCTATGATAAATATGCTGTTCAGCTGTCAGCTTTCCCCATGAGACACTCGCAGTACAGCGCGCACAGAGATTGTTGACCTGACCGTTCACTTCGGGATCTAGATGGATAAGTCTATCTTTAAAAGAGCAACCTAAGCTGTTTGTTCGTATTTAATAAAAACTAACATTATTTAAGCCTTAATTATTATTGTCATATAACCGTTACTAAAACATGTGTTTTGCCAGTCTATTGTCAGGGTCAATTCCTGTTACACATAACGCTAATTTGTTCTTGGATTTTATTATCTGTGTATTATGATCTTAGGTCAAAGTATTTTATAGCGGTTGAAAAAATAATAAATAGAACATCGAGAATCAAGAACAGCAGGTCACAAAGTGTATCTCGTGTTGCGGGAATGCGTCTTCATATACGTCATCAATAGTAGTGCTTGGCTGTGCTTTATAAGTATACCCTTTATAAATATACTCTGTTCGAATATTGTATATTTCCACAAGTGAATGTAAGCTTTGCCGACGACTTGAGGGAGTCCGTGAAATGTAGGCGTCGCAGGCCCGATCGTTCTGACAGAGCTTGGAGAGGTCTAGGTCTAGCTGTGCAATAGCTACAATCATAATGTAGTTAAAGTATTATTTGAAATTACGCATTTAAAGATTAATTGATTTATTGCTAATTATATACACTAATACATAGGTATATATGAAATACAATACTACAAATACTGATTGTACGTACTATTGTAAGAATCAGTTACTTGTATAATGTAAATCATACCGAATGTAAGGAATATTGTCACACATTTAATTATTTTTCCACCTAGATTAATTCATAATAAGTAAATGGCTTTGAGCAATTTGGGAAATGTGAATAGGAAATTTGATCTCGAGGTTATGAGTCATATAAATCGAATTATTAATTTAAATGGAATGTGTGTTTCTGCAATAAATCTTTGTCAATGTCATTACATGCCTAAATAAGACACACATTTTCGAAGTGCTTATTACTGATTTTATCAGTGAAATTTAATTCGATACTGGATACACGATGTGCATTTAAATTAGTTGTTGGAGGTGTTATGACAACGAATACTTCGTATTAAATTAATAATCTGCTAGAATATGAAGCTGTCATAAACATTATGATCTTGTCATCTATTTATTTAATCATATTTTGATTTTACGCTAGTTTTATTATTATTATAGCCCTTGTAGACAGATGAGGATACGGCCCACCTGATGGTGAGTGGTTATCGTCGCTCATGGACGTCAGCAATCCCAGAGGCAGAACTAAGCCGCTATCTACCGCTTAATACTCTCCATAAGCCTCGTTTAAAGAAGGACATTGTCATGTCCAGCGCTCGGGAAACACCGTGGAGGGGAGTTCGTTCCAAAGTCGGAGGGCACGTGGCAGAAAAAGTCTTTGGAAACGCACTGTGGATGAACGCAGTGGCTCCAGCTAGTATGGATGAACTCTACCTCGCAAGCCAAGCCCGCTAAACTTCTTCTTAATTTCTAGCATTGCACGGCTATTTCACACGGGCTTAAGTATAATAATACTGATTATTTCCGACTTGATCATATCACTTAACTCATAAAATAGAGGTTCCAGACTGATGTTTCACGATAGGCAATGATGTTCACGTTGTCTATGGTATGTAGGTAATTATAATTATGTTAGAAGCCCCCGGAAATTATTGACATTTATTTGTTATATTAATATGTAATAGATAATATTAAATTACAATTCATGTTTCATTCAATTTTACTATACTTTTCAATTAAACATAAACAGCGAGTCAATCTCTATATTTAATGAATAATTGAACTCTTGAAACTCTTCTATAATTAAATTTGAATTTTTTGGTATTTTGCAATAGTGTTGACATAAAACAAGCGAATCCATGCGTAAAGCTAGTTTAAGTGATGTGCGAGCGACTCCCGAAGCATTTGTTTCCTGGAATCCGGGCCGCAGGTAGCGAGCCCGACTGGTCCTGTCTCAACGCACACACAGACAAAACGAATACGATTGGAGCCCAATTTCGAATATGGCACCGTAAATATTACGTAATAGACGACATAAAAAGTGGTTTTGTGTTTTTGTGGCTGTGTGTGTTCTCTTTGCGTTTCTAGATTAATTCTAGCTACGAAATATTACTTAAGAGACTGGCGATACAGATATTTCTGAATAAAACGCAAACATGAATTCCAGGCTGATGATGAATTACGTAATAGTTGCAGATAATATTAGCTATGTCCCTTACACATTACATTACGCGTAGTTTGAGCCCATGCGGGGTCACGATCTTGCCTCGAAACAATCATGCTTTCCGGTTTGATGATTGGATGGAGCAGTCGGACAGTACAGTTGAAACTTCGACCTCTTGTCTGATGGGTGGCCGCAATCATGTTGTGATATCTGTGATCTCCAATGACCTATCTACTATTATTAAGATTATTGTTAAGTTCAAATGTATCTTAGGTAAATAAAATCACATCCTCCAGTAGAAGCCACATGGTTGCTCAGAAGTAATTGGGATTTTTTTTTCATTACGCATTGCTGTTACATCATAATATTTAAGTTTTTTCACTTAATATTGTTGTTAGTGTTTGAGAGATCAAGACTTTTTTTACTGTCCTAAATGGTATGTACCGGCGGTAGGCCGCTGTTAAGCCGAAAAAAGTTTGAAATCATCATACATTTAAAAATATGTACGCGTCATAAACGGCTCAAATTTAATTGGGGACTTATTATGATGATACAGACTATAATAATATTTCCGATCTCAGTTATAAGGAAATATAAAATAACAAGTATGTAACATACGTAATGATATTACGTAATAAAGTAAACCATAGTAACTAGCGGGTTAGGTGTAGTGTACGGGTACCTGCGTAATTTCGAGATCGTGATCTATTGTTCTGTGTATATGTAAATTCAAGTTTAAAGAAATTTATTGCACACAGCTTCACCAAAAAATTTGTTGTAAAAAATAGATATGTATATATAAATTTTGTCATTATTTTTTATTTTATTTTACCATTCTCTCTTTAGTTTAGAATCAATCAAATACATCATTTATCTGCCGTAAATTGGAATGTAACAACCTAATGTTGGCATTACTGTAGAAGCGTCAATGAAATTGACAGTTCAGAGACGTAACAGACTTAACTCATTTATCCTGTTCTAACAAATTACAACAGCAATCAAGCTCAGCTTCTTTCTCTGTCTACATCACAGATAACCTTCCTCTTCAATACAGTGATGTAAAAATCAAAATAAATTGTGAGAGCCGGATTGGCCGTGATGTGGAGTACTTTTCTTTGATGTAGCGTTATCTTGTCGTCTATTATTATTATTTACGTGCATTGTTTACGGAAATAAAAGTTTCATGTGACTGGTGCTTCGAAAAAGTTAAAGACTGTCTTGGTTTATTAGAGTCTCTATTGTGAAAATAAATAAAGTATAATTAAATTTCGTTTCTATAAGCGCCTATTTGCACTTAATTGACAACGAAATACGATTGTGATTTTATTGTATTGAAAATATTTAGGTGTTGTAAATAAACGAAGCTTGAAGTTATCATAGAGAAGCCAAGAAAATTCGTGTTGCTTTTTCTTAATAAAGAAGAAAAGCTGGTGAGTGTTTTTTTTTAGAAATTGTACATGTATTTTATAATTTTTAATTTAAATGTCACAAACATTTCATTAATATTCTTTTATAAATATAAACATTTTATGTGAATGATGTGTGTGTTTATAAATTATGACAACATACTTTGAAATTATATTTTATAAACATAAATTGTGTATGCATAAGGAGAGGCCTATGTGTGCCACCACCAGCAATGTACTGCTGTAGATTGATGATAATGATACTTTGGTGTCATACCAGGATATTAGGAATAGTGGGAATTAACAAAATTATCATTAAATTATATAAAACTATATTACTATATTGGCTAGATGGTGCGATGACCTCCGCACGGTGGCCGGCAAGAAGTGGATGAGGAGAGCCGCAGACCGGGCTCAGTGGTGTAGATTGGGAGAGGCCTATGTCCAGCAGTGGACGACTGTGGGCTGTTGATGATGATGATGATGATGATGATGATGATATTACACTAATGCTTCTATGCTACAATACATTTTTAATATCTTCCAGTCTTTAACGTAGATAACCTCCGATAACTTCATAAATATTTTAAATAGCTAAGAACAGTTGAGTTACAGTACAGTGAGAGTTAAAATAAACTTATTTAATACTTTAAAATGATTATCATTACTATCTTTTTATGTATCTCTTACTATATAGGTCAAACCAAATAAAAAAGCAGTTTTCTAATAAATTACAAACACATTATTCAGCAAAATCCGTCTGCAGTATATGGTACAATGTCTTAGGCATTAATAAACTTGAATATTGTTATAAATTTAAATGTAAAATCTGTGTTTTTACCATTTAGTTTTCTTTCTCATTGATCTGCTTATTATCACTATCTTGAATCTGTCTTCTGAATTCACAGATTAATTGATTGATAATCTTTGGTTAATTACAATTGTTTTGTCACTCATTGTAGATTCTTTTAATCATTCTTGGATGATATCTAATTACCAAAACTGAACATGATATGTAAAAAGTTATGAATAAATAAGAAAGCGTTCATAGAATGCATTAATGATATAAAATGAGTATATTTTAGTGAGGTTTCATGAGAGAATTCACAGTACAAGCTGCGAGTTACAAATTTATTTAAAGTTTCTATAAGATCTGACAAAATGTAAAAGTGATATGCCTGATTACAAGAAATGAGTCACTTTTCAGATTTTTTAAAAACTTTCTAGACAAGTTTCGGTAGACTAATGGTTACAATGTGCATTTTATAGCAGTGAAAGTAGCATCTTAGCTGAGGAGACTTTTGAACCTGTTTCCATGGCAACAGTTGATTAGATGACACAATTTTTTACTTGCGGTATGGCATATTTTGAGCTTGCATAACTACTTTAATCACCATCTATTTGTGGCTTAATGTTTTACAGGTTGAAGGGTGGGGTAGTTGTTTTACTATACAATTGAAACTTAGACCTATTGCTGTGTCTATGGCTGTCGATATCTACTTAAGATCACGTGTGCTGCGAGCTTGTTGACCTAAATCTTCTTGCTCTTACCCCACTATGAATTTACATAGTCTATCCAAAGTTAACTAGGACATTCCCGGCTTAGTACTTGACCAACCCATATCTTCAAAAGGGTCAAAGGGCTCCTTTTGGCAGCCACCTTAAGCCAATGACAGGATATCCATAGAGGGCTGATGTCAGGAACGGGACCGGTCTTACAACACATGCCAAATTCCTATACAGCATGATATAGTAGCTCATTCACCCAAATGAGCAATAAAAATACCCGATAAGAAAATATCGTTGTAATTGAACAAAATCTTTACACAATAGTTTTTTTGATTGAAGTGTACTATTATAAATTATTCTTATTTGATCATTGCCGATCTAATGTTAAGGGATGGATACAGCCTACAGGAAATACATAAAGTTAACCCTGTTTACTCATATTCAAACAGTTTATGTCATTAACATTTATGCCACTGACTGTTATTTGTTTTATACGCTTACTCTGTACATGTGGTGTTAAATAAAGAGTTATATTATTATTATTAAAACAGGAGTTTGTAATCTCAATTAAATTTTATTAACAGTTGTCCTGCCATTAGTATAAGAACGCATTATTTCGCGCCATTTATTGGATGACCAATGACAATTAATTGTAATGGTTTCATTTTTTTTTTAAATTTTATGCTAAGATTGTGAAATCTAACAGTATAAAATGCCAGAATAAAAAAAAAGAAACACGCTTCAAGCGGCAACGCACGTGCTTGTACTACCATCACGCGTCCACCTTGGTGGGTATAATGACCGTACCACATATTTTGGGTCGGGCAGACCGTGTAATTTGGTCCATCCTGCTCTCGCGGTGTCTAATTACCAATAATGTTAGACCTCGGGCGGTGCGCCATGATTTATCTCCAACCCGTCTCGTAATTCTGGCATCCGACAAAAAACGTCTGGAACTATCTATTTGAAATTTTACGTGTTTGGTTTAAGTTCGACAAATTGTACCCACGTGTATTCCTTGATACTCAAGAATTGTATAAAAGTAACTAGCAGCTGGTCCCGTCTTCTCTTAGGTAGTAGCGCATACGATATAAAGAATTTTAGGTAATTTTTTACCAACCAATGGTTACGTTATTGAAAATATAATAAATATAGCCTATTATCACCGGGGGATAATGTAGTTAGCTAACAGTGAAAGATTTTTTTAAATCGGTTCAGGAGTTTCGGAGTCTATCTATATAATATATTAATACGTGAAGCAAAAACTTTGTATCCCTTTCTACGAAAATTGCGCGGACGGAGAAGTATTAAATTTGCCACACTTATAGAGAATATAGAGAAGAAGTGCACAATGCTAATATTTTTTTAATGTAATGCATAAAAGATACATTAAATCAATAAAGAAAACATTACACACACTACATACCATGTATTTGACGCACACACGCATGCATACCTACTATTTATTGTCAAACTTTTGTTCTTGACGTCTGTTGTCAAATTGAGAATAGATTAAATATTGTTTGTCTTAGTTAATATTTTTTAATAGTGTAGTCTTGGCGAAATTTGTGATTATAGAAGTATAAAATACAATAATAATAGTGTACAAGCTTACAATTCCAATTAATTATAGTCGAATTTCGACTACTGCGGGACCTCTAGTTCAATACAAACATACAATCAAATGTTTTTCTCTTTATAATATTAGTATAGATATAGCCTATATCGCCCGGGGATGGTGTAGTTTGCCAACAGTGAAAGATTTTTTTAAATACGTTCAGCAGTTTTGGAGCTAATTCAATACAAACAAACAATCAAATCTTTTTCTCTTTATAATGTTAGTATAGGGTTTAGATGAATTAAATTTATTAAACATCATATTTCCTAAGTAGATTGAATGCATTACTTCTACACCTAACACGATATTACCACGACTGCTAAAACTCCAAAGGAACGATTAAGAGGTAGAGATTGTTACCGATAATAAACAAGGCAAAAATTTATACTCATAACAATAACAAAAAAGAAAACAGATTGCAACGAAATGAAATAAGAATATAATGTGGTTGAAGTCTAAATTAATAATAAGTATGCATTATTGAAGATAACTCAAAAACTACCGGTCAGATCATCTTAAAATAGCATCAACAATATCGGTTCACTTAAAACAAAGGTCTGAGGTAACACAAATAAAAAATAACAGTAGAATAGATAAACCTTCTTATTTTTGGAAGTCGGTTAAAAATAAGAAAAAAAATAAGTTTTATGTAGCAGTTTTTTTTAATCTTACGTAGCTTTTCATCCTATGGAACGATGGTGTTTAGAAAGTTGTCAACATATCACATACGAATGCAACAGTATTATAACTACCCACATACATAATATATTGCAAGGGATGAAGCTTTTCTTTTATCGATCACAAGGGGTCGGACCCCTGAATTGCGAAGGCATATCTAATTCGATTGTTCCTACCAAACATCTTCGGGGATGTACGCGTCGAACCTTTCTGAAGTTTTTCACGATTCGTTCGAATATCGCCGCGGCGCCGTAAACATTTCACAAATGCCTTCTGTTTTCATTTGTTATTATACTCGTATGTAATTCGTGTTAGAAATTAAATACATACATCTTAAATATCGATTTCTGCACTTATAAAACATTATAAACGTCATTTATTTTATGAGTTTACTAGTTGTTATCCGCGGCTTCGCTCGCGTGTTTAAGGGGAAGTGTAATGAGTGCGCATCATCAGTGCACAATTCGTGACCTTTTATCATAAGTATTCCTGAATGTGTCTATTATACAACAGAAAATTCAATATCAGCGGACCCATCACATACGCCGATCTGATCATGAAACAGAGAACTCTGCCTTGTTGTAAAAATAGCGTTTACCTAATTACGATGAAATCACGTATTATTTCTTTAGATTACATTGTTTCCCGTGGGAATAAGATGTTTTTTCGACATAAAAAAATAGCCTTATGTCTTTCTCCTAACTCAATAGGTTCAATCACTTTAAAAAAAAAATATACACGTGAATCTATTGCTTCCTGTTGAACGAATCATCAAACAAACATATCTGAATATTTGTGATATTCAAAATATAAAATTAGTAAAATATGGGTACGAATTGTCCGGTAACACGTTCTGAATTTAAAACATAAACTTTAGTTAAAAAATATAACCTAAATTTATTCTCTAGTTTGTTAGAAAATATTTGATGGAAAATTATTTTGTACAACATTTACAATCTACAAAATAACGCAGGTACAACAAGACCTTCAAAGAATAGGTTTTTAAAATAATAAATTCCCTTGTTCCCCTGTCTCCCTGTTCCCTCTGAAAAAAAAAAAAAAAATGGTGACGCAAATTCCGAAAAAAATCTGCCGAATTTCATCGAATGCCAATACATACTCGAAAATTCCACTAGTGAGTAGGCGAGTGAGTGAGTGAGTGAGAGAGTGAGATACGACGGTGAAAGGTGGGTGGGGTATGATTTCCATTAGGTCATTG